GGGGCTGATGACCCTTACCTATATCCTATCCTTTATTACATTTGTAATTGTCCCAAAGTCAAAGTTCTTTGTCTACGAGATCGAATGATTTTTTTTCCAAAGCAAGTTTCCGGGTGGGAGTTATTCTTCTTTTCTCCCTTCTCCTATTCTGGTTACCTTTGTTGTTTTAAAGACATTGTAAATAGTTTTCTATTTCAAAAATTTTAGAGAACATTTTTAAAAATGCTTACTTATAAGACTGTTCTTGTACTTATTGTATAAATCATTATGAAGTAATTTAAACATGGAAAAAACTGCTTATTCAGTCGGAATTTCGATATTAACTAGAATAATTTGCCTTCTATAAGAAACTATGTGAGAAAAAACGATTGATTACAAAACGAAAATTTTGTAAGTTTTACAAAATGAAAATTTTGTAAGTTTATTGGGTTTAGAGGTGAAGGGTTCTGTTGAGCTTTCTCTGTAAAACATTAGACATTTTTTCACTACTTCTCCAGAAAAAAGTCTTCTAATAAAAAAAAGTAATGAAAAAAATAAAAAAAAAAACTTGCAAAACTTCTTCAGATGAACGATCATGTAAAAAAGATGGAGATATGTTAAAAATAAAATATGGAGATAACGAACAGTATTCAAGCTCAAAGTCCATTAAAACCACACAAATCGGGAGCAGAGCAAACACGGACCTCCAAAAACATCAGAGGTGGGATCCGGTGCCATGGAGGATTGAGCATATAACCCCACAGGCGATGATGCCAGAGTAGGGGTAAATTTGTTTTTTCAAAAGTATTTATATATATATATATATATATATATATATATATATATATATATATATATATATATATATAATCTAACAAGAAAACTTTATGATAAACGTTATGACTTCGTCTTTTCTAGCGTCAACTTCCCTTACTTACGTAGTTATATACGTGCATCCTTATCACCTGCATATGGGGTTTAGGTCTCTCATCGATCAGTTGATTTTATAAGCAAGAGTATGCTCCATGTAAGAACTATCTCTACAACGAGGCAAGTTATTGACAAACAAGTTGAAGAAACAAGAATATCAACAGTCTTGTTTAAAGTTATCATTTGGCAAATTCTATGGTCGATACAATGACCTTGTCAGCAAATACAATCTATCATTAAAACATATGCTGATTGACGTTTTTCATGCTAATTGTTAGGTCATTATTTTCACACTGAATTGTCTACAGATTTTTCTGTTTGCCCGATCATGACAATGAGCACATGATGGGTGTGTCCGGTCGGCAGGGGATACTCACTCCTCTATGGCACCTGATACCACCTCTGATGCTTTCAGAGGTTCGTGTTTACTCTGCTCCTGATTTGTATTGTTTCAATGGACTTTTGAGCTTGATTACTGTTCGTTATCTCCATATATTTCATATACATGTATAAACTTAGAATCTTTTCCCCTCAAGAACAGAGAGAATGGTATTTGACAGGTGGGAAAATAAATCACAATTTATCAATTAACCAATCCCCCTTTTCTTCAATGTAGTTCATAGTTTACTAATTTAAGGAACTCGTTCCTCTTTATTAAGAGCAGAGCTTCGGGTTTAATATGCAGGCAACCGCATATAGTTTTTGTCACAGTATGAATTGAATTTCAATTGCAGCATTGATATATCAGTTTCAAAGTTGATGCTTTAGTAAGATCATAATGATCACAAAGATGGTTAAGCACGATGTGATGTTCAGGCTCTACTCTTTTAGACAAATTGGCGGCTCAAAATTTCTAACGTATCTTTCTCATTCGGAAATTAGCCTCCCAGTTCATCTAGAGATTATCCAGTCAAAATGTCAATTTTAAGGCTTTACATTTGTTACAAACTTGGACCATTTAATGTTCACTTTACATTAGAGAGTGAAATTGAGGGGTGAGACCATAGAATCAAAACCTTTGTATGGCTTCAGTCCATAGCATGTGTCTAAACTTGACATCTCACTAACAGTGAACTCTCTATCTAAGTAAAAATAATTCTCGATACTAAGGACATAAAACTGCTTCAAATCAAATCATTTAGAGGGGTAAATAACATCACCAACAACAAAGTAACAAACAATTTGTTTTACGAAAATAAAAATTAAAAAAACAAAACACCGAAACTGCATTTTCCTTTCCTTTCTAGAGCACGACCAGGTACTGCCGAAAGTTCTCATTTTTTTACTTCCAAAATGTGATTAACATTTTCAAAAAGCACCAACGCGATCCAATATAGTAAGCCTGTAAGTAGCATTGTGTTTTCCCAAGATTAAAAGACGGTTTTTAGTTAGTAGTAAACAATCATTACTTGATTTGAGCCTTATAACTGATTTACGCTAACCCAAGTCAGACATCATATTGATATGAAAGCAATATTTGTAAGGGGAGACCACTGAACCTTGTCGAGGTGGGGGTAAATTCAGGCATCGCAAATCACAGCATTGTGATTTTTCTATATATCTCCGCTTTTGCATTAGTCAAAGATAAACCTTGATTTCATTTATCAGAGTGTGAAAGAAAAAAAAAAGGTTTTAACAGAAATTTCATGTCATCTGGAAATTGGGGTCTCGAAGAGCAGGAAAGATAAAATAAAATATTCAGACATAGACAGGTCAGCTCACTGGTGTTATTATTAAGAGTAGATTTCAATGTTGAGAGAAACAGGTCGTTCATTTGTTGATTCTATGTTCAACTTGTGTCTCGTGAACAGAAGATCTGCTTTAAGTTTACTCCTTCCATTTAGTTCTCTAGAAAACCCAGGACCATCTTAAAACAAACAAAATGTGTAAATACAATGCAACCATATTGATGTATTGTAAATAACAGCGGTAAGATATGACCTAAGTTTAATATGCTAAGCAAACATGTAATTGTAGATCTATTAACGTCCTTGTACGGTGTTGAGTTTTCTCAGAGTTTTGTAATTACACCTCTCAGTGAAAGTGATCTTTGATCTGTAATATTCTCAGCTATCAAATTCCTGTATCAAAATGTAAGTAAATTTTAATAATTTTCTTTAACATATATTGTATTAAATTATATATTATGAAAACAACATTCTACTACCCAAAACAAGCTTTTTGCCAATGATAAGATTTCACCTGAGTTAAGGAAGAAAAACACTACCACCCCCGATGCTACATTGATTTTGTAGACCATGAAGAAAACAACATGAAGAGTAGAATGTAACCATTCTCTATTTCGTCGTATCGGAGGGGAAAAAATTCTATGTCAAGCTACCAATGGTATTTGTGGACAGGACCCCCCCCCCCCATTGATTACAACGCGAGAATGAATGAATTTTTAATAAATGTTTATTCTACATTATTATTATTTTTTTTTACGTTGTAAAACATTATTGGCGGTGAACACTCTTAACAATTCTTGGTACCCAGGTGCACGAAGTCTGTCAGTAACTTACAAAGTTTATTTTACAGTGGTGTGAACATCATCTTAAAGGTTGATTATATATAAGTTTTGGTCAGGATATCTGTATATTAAATATGAGTAAACTTAGTGAACTTTTATTACATCAGATAAGAGTAAGTACATTATTAAAACTTCTGACTTTCTTTATGCTGGAAAGAAAAGGAACCCCCATGTGACTTTCATTAAGATTGCCATTTATTGATTTAAATGTCGACAAATGATTATGTGAAGAACAACCAACAATAAAATAAACCTAACGCTGAATGCGCGTACATGAAATATGTATGACGAGATGATCCATTAGCCGAAATTGCGAGAAACCGAACTGAAATGACTTCAAACAAGATTAAATTCCCCGTGTAAATAGCATGTAAACGTTATTGTGCCCTCTTTCAAGTATATTGGATTTGGAAGATCATTGTCATATTTGGCGAATGGATTTTTATTTTATTTGTGTAAACGACTTCTATTTAGACAGCAATTTCTATCGAGTTACGAATTGCTAGATTGCGGACGTGAAGAGTATTACTCTGTTTGTAAAAACGCTTTCGTTTATTTTACACTTGATACTAAATATATCGAACGTTTGGGCTCTGCCAGTGTGTCTCTCATTTCTAACTTACAGGGAGGAAGAAAACACGGGGTAAGTGTAGGTCTCATTCACTTGACATTGCAAAACCATTACAACATTGTTGTTAATTTTATGGCATTTGTGTAACAATAATTCTAGTATTTCTCAAGTTATATTTGGTAAAACTTAAATCACATTAATGTAATTTATATTGATAATAGAGGTGTCAGTTTTAAATCAGTTTGAATGTACTTGTCAATTCAGAAAGGAAAAGAAAAAAATGAAAAAAAGGCAACATATCACTGATACACTGCAGTAAATATATAGCATTTAAATAAATGTACACAGTGTATTGAACAGATAATGTAGATTGTATTCAAATATAATTTTTTGTTCATTGACAAGGTTAGACAGACTTAAAAATAAGACTAGGAGGAGCTTATAAATGTATACATGTATTATTTCCGCGTGATACACATCAGGAAGGTTTGCTCTTGTATTAAGAATGTTCCTTCCTTTTAAAAACCACAAACGAAATAAGTACAAAACAGGCAGAAAGATGTTCATAAAAAACGAGTTCTGAATCATTTTCAATAATCAATTACAGTCATGCAATGTATGTTACATGATTAAGTATAAAAACACGGTTACATTTATAAACGCAACACATGGGTCAAATAGGTTTACGCTCAATTGTTCATACCTTGTAATGAAACGTATGAGCGTGTTCATGGATTGGAAAAGGTGTAATATGGTCCTAATCCTAGACACATCGATTTACAGATCCGAACCCACCACAACAGCTGTTACAGTGTCCCAGGGAGAAAAAAAAACGAAGATCAGTTGCAGGTAAGGGATTTACACTATTTTAAATAGAAATTAAAGGAAAACTGCGTCCGTACAAAACTCCACAAGTCCGAGACAAAATCGATGCTTCTTACAGATTTTTTTTCCCAGATATCATCTTATTGACATATAGTTGACAAGCAGATACCGGAATCTTCGGAGGCTATATCACATCTAGCCCTAGACTGTTCAACTGTGATCGAAGGCCTTTGCAAACTATATGGTAAAATTTTATTTATACATATGTTTTTCAATGATTAAAAAAATAGTCCTTTTTATTATCAAATTATGTATGTAAATAAAAAGACAAAAGAAAGAGTAATATTTGAAGACCATGAACCTCTGTTTGTCCTAAGAAAGTGCAGTCATGACACATCGGTGTCCTCTGATTGTCATTCAGCTTGGCATTGTTTTTGAAATATGCCTAATGACTGTTACTATGTTATTTTGTTGCGAATTTCTGTTTTTATACAAACTAAAGAAATATTCGTTATATGGGAGAGATTATAATTTTTCTCGATCTTGAAATAGCATGAAATAGTTTTCTTAACTACAAATGCAGCTTACATCGACATAAGGTTTGTAGGGAATCTAAAAACATCACCTCCAGGATCTCTGAAACGGTGTCAACATGGCGAATAAATTTGAAGCAAGAAAATAACGTCTTGATTTATCCTTAAAACGGTTTTGTTGGTCGAAGGCACATGCAACTCCAAAAAAATTGTTATGAAATATGGTCACGAACAGTATTCAAGCTAAAAGTCCTTTAAAACAATACAAATCGGGAGCAGAGCAAACACGGACATCCAGAAATAGAGGTGAGATCAGGTGCCATGTGCTCCTTGTCATGATCGGATAATAACGGAAAAATCCGCCGACAATTCAATGTGTAAATAATGGCCTAACAATTAATGTGAACAAGTCAGTCAGCATATGAATTTAGGATAGATTGTATTTGCTGACAAGGTCAATATATCGACCATAGAACTTACAAAATGATGACCTTAAACGAGACTGTTGATATTCTTGTTTCATCAACTTGTTTGTCAATAACTTCCTCGTTTTAGAAATTGTTCATACGTAGAGCATATTCTTGCGTATGGAATCAACTGAGAGATATACACCCAATGCAAGTGATAAGGGTGTATTGCTGCATAAGTAAGGGAAGTTGACGATTTGTTGACTTTGTTGGTTATTTTCCAATTGTTTGTTTCTTTGTTCATTTAACGTCCCTTTCGAGAATTTTTCACTCATATTAAGACGCCACGGGACCTCGGTTTATACGGTCTTGTCCGAAGGACCGGTCTCCACGTCCTGCAGTGGGATTCGAACCCGCGACGTAAGGATCATCTCCGGCCTTACCCCGCAACTCTGGTGCAAACGCACTAACCACTGCGCCACGCGGGTGACTTTTTCAATTAAACAAATTCTTCGAATCGTACCGGAGGGGGGAGGGGGGTTATCCATAACTCAGGTGCCTGTTGTTATAAAGTTACGTACATGTAGAGCTATGATATTGGACGATATGCTAGCTTAGAAAAAAAAAACTAACATAAATGTTTGATGCTTTGTCCCAATCAAAGATGGCGAGGTTAGTTACCGCTACGTATTACACTACATATTTCCCTCTATTTGTTCAAATGAACATGTATATGCAGGCCCGTAGGAAGCAATTTCACTTGGGGGGGGGGGGGGCACAGCCATACCATATATTTTCAGTTGAGGGGGCACTTTCAACTACCAAATATTTCTTGCCAAAAAAAAAAAAAAAAAGGTCATCAGACGTTTTTATTGAGGGGGCACAAGCATACAGTATCTATCTTTTCTATAGTAATCTATATATCGGCAAAATTATTGAGGGGGGGGCACGCCCGTGCCCCCCCCCCCCCGGTTCCTACGGCCATGAATATTTCCGCTTGACTTTGCCTTTGTACCGAAAATTTTTTATTCTGATACCCCACTTGCAAAGTGAGGGATATAAAAAATAATGGGGGCGTCCACCCGTCTATACATCCTTCTGTTCTTACCACTTGGGGGTAGCCATACCTTATCCGCAACACCACTGAATTAAATTCAATGAGACTTTCACGATTTTTTATTGCATAATGCCGTTGTGCACATCGTATTTTACGTTTCGAAAACGTAAACGTTACGTTTATATATGAATTTTCCAAGAGCAAAATATGGACACTGCTATTCTTTCTTAAATATTGGGGTCTTTAATCTGCAACTCCTCCTACACCACTGAATAAAATTTAATGAAACTTTTACATGCAGATTCTTTATTTCATAGTGTCATTGCGCACCTCCTATTTTATGTTCTGATCGGAGATGGACTTTGCCATTATACTCCTATGGGAGCGGGGGTATAATTTGGTGAGCTCTGTTCTCACAGTACCGTTAGTTCGATATTTGTATCCATAGTCAAAAATCTATATGGTAGCTGCTAGTTAAGCGGTTCAAGATAAGTTGAAGGCAGCTTGAACTACTTTCGTTTAAGACTGAGTAAACAAGATGTGTTTGTGAAACACTGATGCCCCCGTATGGCAACTTTCTCAAATGCAAATCAAATATGTTGGTACCCAAAGTAAGGTCTTGTCTCGAGGAATATACCTGTGAAATATGAGAGCCCTGGCAGCAACCATTGAATAGATATGGAAAAGGTTAAAGTTTTTCAAAAGTAAGTCAAACATCAAGGTCAAGGTCAAAAGGTAAAAAATAATGGTGCCTAAGGAAAGGCCTTCTCACAAGAAATATACTGGTGAAATATGAAAGCTGAAGCACCAATCGTTTAAACGTTATGACCAAGGTTTATGTTTTCCACAAGTAGGTCAAACTCCAAGGTCAAGGTCAAAGGGTCAAAGTTGTTGGTATCCAAAGGAAGGTCTTGTCACAAGGATTACACATGTAAAGAATGAAAGCCCTAGCTCCAACGGTTCACAAGTTATGGCCAAGGTTAAAGTTTTCCAAAAGTAGGTCAAACTCCAAGGTCAAAGGGTCAAAGTTGTTGGTATCCAAAGGAAGGACTTGTCACAAGGATTACATATGTGAAGTATGAAAGCCCTAGCACCAATTGTTCAAAAGTTATGGCCAAGGTTAAAGTTTTTCAAAAATAGGTCAAACTCCAAGGTCAAGGTCAAAGGGTCAAAGTTGTTGGTATCCAAAGGAAGGTCTTGTCACAAGGATTACACATGTGAAGTATGAAAGCCCTAGCTCCAACCGTTCAAAAGTTATGTCCAAAGTTAAAGTTGGGTAAAATTTTGTAAAACTAAGTCAAACTCCAAGGTCAAGGTCAAAAGGTCAAATATGGTGGTACCCAAAGAAAGGTCTTGTCACAAGGAATACACTTGTGAAATATGAAAGCCATAGCTCCAACCAATCAAAAGTTATGGGCAAGGTTAAAGTTTTTGCGGACAAACATGCAGACAAACAGACAGACGGGCGGACATGGCAAAAACTATATACCCGCCGAATCTTAGATACGGGGGTATAATAAAAAGTCTTTCGCCGATCGAGAAAGAGAGTACATGTAATGTCCTTGTGTATATCTAACTTGTTATTTCTAAGGTATGAATAGAAAACAAACACAGGAAGAATCTATGCCATTCAGTTAACTAAACGTGACTGAATGGTAGAGCTCTGCCTTTCAGCCACCTTTCCAGACTTTTCAGTGACCATTCAGTAACGAAGGCACAGTTAAACAATTCTCGTCATGGGGTTTCACATAGCAAAACATGGACACTGCAATTTTTTCTATAATATTGGGGGTACTCATTTAATTCTTACTCGCAACTCCTTCTATACCTCTGAATAAAATTAAATGAGACTTTCACAGAATCTTCATTACACTTCTACGTTATATTCTGATTGGAAAATATTTTGGGTTTCCCAAAGCAAAACTTGGATTTTGCCTTTTAATTCATGTGGGAGTGGAGTTATCATTTTTCAAGCTCATTGCTCACAGTACCTCTAGTTTGTTTATGTATTTACTTATATTAATGAGAGAGGTATATGATGCCGTGCACAATCGTTCGTATAGCCATAAACAATTTCGGTTTTGTGTGATGAATGCTCAGTTTTCTACCAGTGTTTGTTTTTATATCTTGGATGTAAGCTTTTAATTTGTTTATACTCGGAGCACGAAACGCTTCCTATATCACAAACTGATCTTGTCTAGAAATAAGCGAAACGTAAGTTTATATGTTTATTTGCGCAAAAGCATTTTGTGAATCTGTGATTCTTTTAAGCACGCTAATGGTAATCCGAATAAAACCACTTATGACAGAGAGACAGCGGAGTCTCGCTTGGGAAATCTTCATTGTCAGATCTTCACAGTTACTTTTTTCTGCCCAAAAAGAATAAAACACTGTGATTGTTGGAGGAAATCAATACATGACTCTCATTCTCAAACAATTATCGAGAACAAAACGTAATCAGTCTTCCTCTGTCGGATTAAACTGGACGCAATTTCCATCCTCCTGTCAAAGTTTATCATTGGGTATACAAAACAAAGGGTTTGGATTCTATCCTGTCGCCAGTAATTTTTTTTTTGCAACTATCAGTAAACAACAAAAACTAGGAAATTTAAGAAAACAAAATCCAAATCGATTTTCTCTTGATATGTTACTCTTAAATAAGTGTAAGAACAAATAGGAAAAGCACTTGAAAAATATTTTTTTTTTAAATTTTCAATAACTTAACGTTTGTGCATGTAGACACGTTGGAAACAAGTAATTAAAGCTTCAAAAAAGGAGGTGAATAGAGGGTTTTCTTGGTCTTTAATTTTTGTCCAAGATGTTGAAAGGATTGAAAAAAATGAAATGAATTTGGAATATTTTATGGGTGTGCATGTAAGTAATTAAAGAGTTTGATATCAGGCAATATCACGCAATGAATTATTTGATGTGTCAATTTCGATTTTAGAAAAGGATGAATGTGAACCGTTGGTACCACTTGTAGTATTGTGGCACCCTAAGGTGGTCCCACTTTAACCCAGGGGCATAATTTGAAATTCTTATATACGCATTGGCTTGACTAGTGAGTAGCTAAAACCAACAAGATTTCATTTAACAGAGTTCTAATATACCACTTCTTAATCATTCTACTACAAACTATGTATGCTCCATGGAAAAACAATATACTGCTAACTGCCAAGAAACAATGGACCATGTACAAGATTGACGTTTATCACACCAGAATTAATATGAAGGAAAAAAACTGAAG